CCTACAATTTGGAGTTAGTAAGCAATGGCAGGAGAAATTGGTGAAAGTAGCAAGGATGTGTTGAGTACAATTCAGGTTGCACTTCAGAATACAAAGATTAGTGTTGTGAAGTATAACGGTAAAATCAATTTTGGGTTGTGGATGAGTGATACGTAGGATGCTTCGAATGCTCAAAACTTGGAAGAGATGATAATGACTCATGAGAGGCCACCTAAATATGATGAGGCGATATGGGACAAGATGAATCAAAATGCATGTGGGGTAATTAGATCGTGTTTAGAACAAGAGTTAAATACGATTTGATTAGCATGATGTCTATGATGAAGATGTGAAAGATTCTTAATAACAAGTATCTTATGAAAAGTGTTCAGAATCAGTTACACTTGCTGTGGAGATTATTCAGATTTCAGAAATCCACGGGTACCTCACTTGTAGATCAAGTGAATAACTACATAAAGTTGTTGTCGGACTTGACGAATATTAATGAGAAGATATCAGATGAGTACAAAGCGATCATTTTGTTAGGCTCATTATCGGATGAGGATTTTGATATATTTATGCTTACTTTGTTGATTGGTAGATCTTCTATCATCTATAGTGAAGTGACTAATGCATTGACGAATTTCGATTTGAGGAGGAATGATAAAAAGTCTTCTAGTGCTAGCACTTCAGCAGAAGGCTTGTCAACAAGAGGAAGGAGTCTCTATCCTAGAGGTGGTAATCGAGGCAGGTTAAAATCAAGAGGCCACTATCAAATTACGAAGAACTAGTGTGCTTTCTGCAAAGAATAAGGACATTAGAAGAGAGATTGCCTGAAGCTCAGAGAGAAGGAGAATAGCAAGAAGAAGGGCTCGAATGCCAGTGAGGTGAATGTTGCTAAGAGTGATAACGATTTCGATGATTCATGCTTTTCTCTATTGATTACTCCAGCGATGATTCATGCTTTTCTCTATTGATTACTCCAGAGATTAACCATGCGGAAGCATCTGATTGGATGCTGAATTCTGGTGCTACTTATCATGTGACTCTCCAGAGAGATTGGTTTGTATCTTTTGAAAAACTCGATGGGGATGTAGTGGTCATGGGAAATAATCAGTCTTATGGTATTAGTAAGATAGGTACCGTCAGGATTCGAATGTACAATGGAGTTGTTCGAGAGTTGAATGAAGTGAGATTTGTTCCTCAGTTGAAGAAGAATCTTATTTCATTGGAGCTTTGGAGGCAAAGAAATTCAAGGTGACTTTTGAGAATACTATAGCAAAAGTTACTAAGTGATCTTCGGTAGTGAGAAAGGCAGTCCGCAGTAGGAATCTTTATTATCTGAAGGGAAGCACCGAGATTGGCCAAGTAGCTTTAGTAGTTTTAGAGGCAGATGCGAGTAGATTTTGGCACTATAAATTAGGGCACATAGGAGAAAAGTCACTGAAAGTATTCTACAAGCAGCGGCTATTGAAGGGAGCTAAGAATGGAAAAGTTAAATTCTGTGAGCATTGTGTTCTTAGTAAGAAGACTAAAGTAAAGTTTAGAATAGCCATTCATAAGATGATCGACATCTTGGACTATGTGCACATAGATGTTTGGGGTCTCACCAAGACGACATCACTTGGTGGTTGACATTGGTTCGTCATATTTATGGATGACTATTCTAGACGTTGTTGGGTGCACACCATGAAGCAGAAGAGTAAAGTCCTAGAGATATTTGTTGAGTGGAAGAGAAGATTGGAACTACAGATATAGAGAAAGATCAAGACGTTGAGATCCGACAACGATAGAGAGTACACATCAGACCTCTTTTAGCAGGTATGTTGAGACAAGGGCATAGAGAAACACTTCACAGTTAGTCATACACCTCAGCAGAATGGGGTGGCAGAGAGGTTGAGTCGGTCTTTACTAGAGAATGTCCAATGTTTGTTATCGCAGAGTAGTAGAGAAGATCTTTTGGACTGAGACACTTACATATGTGAGCCATCTCATTAATAGGTTGCATTCATCTATGATAGAGGGAAAGACTCCTATGAAGATGTGGTTGGTAGAACTAGCACACAATTATGATCAGCTCAAGGATTTTGGGTCCCTGCATTTTATCATGTTAAAGTGAAAAGTTGGAACCTCGAGCTAGAAAGGTCATATTTGTGGAATTCAAGCGTGGCGTGAAAGGATACAAGCTTTAGGATCCAGTTGAGAAGAAGATTGTGTTAAGCAAAGATGTCACATTTGATGAGGCTTCGCTCTTGAAGTCTCCCAGCTCTCATCAGGTAGAGAACACCCCGACAGAGAAGACATCGAAGGTGGTGGAGATTGATGCAGCTCCACAGAGTCCAGATAGGACTGTATCCATTAGAGTGCCGACTAAGGTGACAACGAGCACAGTGATGATTTGGATGATACACGTATAGCAGAGCATGATCAAGGACCGAAGCCGTCCAAGAATGTTGGAGCAAACGCGGTTTCAATCAGCTTTGGATCGGTGCCCACAACGTGGTTCAAACCGGAGCGCATCACCAAAGTAGGGATGAAGACAGTGAACGATGACCCACATGGACAGCGCCAAAAAGGACTTGTGCCACACACAGCCCCAAACGGTAAAATCCTATGGGTTCATCCTGATCTCATCGAAGACGAACAGTGGGCGACTTCCTCGAGAAGAAAGGGCAAAGGCAAGTCCTGCAATGCTACTTCCGCAATCTTCGAGGAGGATGGCGATGAAGCTCCTACTTTCCCGCTCTCCGAAGAAGAACAAGAAGTCTTCGCCACTAGAAGCGGAAATGAGTATCACAACAATTATCCACCACCTAGTGAGCAGGGGGTAAATAAACGGGGACCAGCCAAAACTCTCACGGAGATGGGGGTGATTACAAGTCCTACACCGGGCGAAGAGGCTCGACGATAGTCGGTGAATAAACCGAAAGAGAAGAATCCCCAGGAGGTGCAGAATCCGAAGCAGTCTCGTTTCAGTCGCCCGATTGGAAAAGACAGACCGGAAAGATCGAAGACTTCGCAAGTCTTCGATATAATGGCTCAACTAGCCAACATTCCAGCATGGATAACGCTGTATGAGTTGCTGCGGTTGTCCAAGGAAACCAGGGAGGCCTTGCAAGAAGCTCTGGCCAATTCAGAGGTATTTTTGACTCAAATCAAGCCGGTGTCTGAACAGCCAGAACCGCTGAGTCAACAATGCAACATAGAGACTAAGAACCTTCGCTGCATTACTTTCACCAAAGAGGATATGCAGACGAAGAATTCGAACCACGATCGACCGCTATACTTCATCGGGTACATCGGCTCCAGCAAAGTCAACCGAATCCAAGTGGATCCGGGTTCTGCTGTGAGTATTATGCCACTCCGCTTGATGCATTTCCTCAGCATTCCAGTTAGCAAGTTGGCGTCCACAGGCACTGTTATCTACGGGTTCAATACCAGCGGGTCAAGACCTTTAGGTAAAATCCGGATAAAGTGTCAAATGGGAGATTTGAAGACAGAAGTCACATGTTATGTGATCGATGCCGAAACTTCATATAACTTACTATTGGGTCGGCCT